AATTGTTCAAAAATTCCACAAAATAACAAATTGAAGGAATTTTTTCCTTTACCTTTTGAAGTAAACATAAATTGGAATTTTTAATAAATTTAATGTAAAGCTGTTTGATTAATTTTTTTTACTACTTGGAAAATTGGATGTCTGGTGGAATCTTTTAATATAGAAATTATATACAGGATACCGTTATTTCAAAAATTATGCATCTGCTCGATGGTACGTTAAGAAGGCTCTAAAGAAGTCAAAAATGATTAAAAAATCGCTGACCATGTTAAAAAAAAAACAAAACAAAAATTAAACAATATGAAGATTTTTTTTTTATTACTTGGAAGTTTGGATGTCTGGTCGAATCTTTTAATATAGAAATTATATACAGGTGTTTCAAAAATTATGCATATGCTTGATGGTACGTTGTGAAGAAGGCTCTAAAGAACTCAAAAAATGATTTAAAAATCCCTGACCATATTTAAAAAAAAAAACCAAAAAAAACTTCAAAGCTGAAAAATTAACTTCATAATTTTGCTTTGTTTCAATGATCTACAGGTTGAATAAACAGTTAAATAATTAAGTATTAATAATTTAATAGTAATTTGCCAGAATAACATCCACAACATCTTTTTTTTTTTCTGTTAAAATATGTCATTTTTAACTATTTTGATTGAAATTTTAGACTGTCAATTAAATTCACATTAAAACATACTAGTATTACGAATTAATTTCTCAATTTTGAAGTTCTACATTTTCAAAAATTTGTTCTTCAGAGTAGCATCGAGTTTATACGGCATTTTTGGAACACCCAGTATATTTATTTTTTTTAGAAAGTATAATAATTATGTGAAAATATTTTTAATGATTAAATATTGTAAAAAAGATTGCATTCATTATATTTATTATAATTATATAAATTACATTATTAAAGCAGCAATGAAATTTTTAAAATTTTGGGTTTAAAACTTTTTTTTATATGTAATTACTGTAACAAATTTCAAATTGATTAATAAGTCATTAGATATAATTATTATTTCTTCAGTTAAAAAAAAAGGCATTGCCCCTGAAGTATTAATAGCTTCTTCGAAAAATTATAAATTTGATTTTGTGAATTTTATTTTTTTATTATATCCCCTATAGTTTAAAAAAATAGAGGCGAATTCATAAACCACAAGTTTACAAATGTTATACTATTTAAACACTAAAAAAAGGTAAAATTTCGGCTGCATGATAGTACCTAAAATTCTTTGTTTTAATTGTTCAAAAATCCCACAAAATTACAAATATTGACATTTGAAATATGAATTAATGATTAAAGGATTTTTCCCCAAATAAATTGAAATTTTTAATAAATGTAAGGCTATTCCTATCTATCTTTTAATATAAAAATTATATACAGGTGTTCCAAAAATGATGCATAAGATCCATGGTACGTTGGTAAGAACGCTCTAAAGAACTCCAAAAAAATGGTAAAAAAAATCGCTAAACCATATTTAAAAAGTATATATCTTAAACTTCAAAGCTGAATAATTCAATTCGGAATTCTGATTAGTTTAAATGATCTGCAGATCTAATAAACAGTTAAATAACTAATTAATTATTAATAACGTAATCATAATTTGCCAGAATACATCCACAAGACTATTTTTTACTAAAGATGTCATTTTTGACAATTTTGATTGGAATTTTCGACTGTCAATTAAACTCACCAGAATCACGAATCAATTTTTCAATTTTGAAGTTCTATATTTTCAAAATTTTGGTTTAGGGATTTTTTAACCATTTTTTTCTAGTTCTTCAGAGTTATGCGGCATTTTTGGAACACCCTGTATAAATTAATTTTTCTTTAGAAAGTATAATAACTATGTACAAATATTTTTATAATTAAATATTGTAATAAAATTGCGTTCATTATCACTAAAACAACAACGAAATTTTTAAAATAATTTTATTCGAAGAACTAACACAATAATGTACGAAAGTACATATTTTCATTATTTTGCGAAATATTTTTGCGCACTGCGCTATGTTTTTTTAGAAAATTTCTGTTAACAGTACCCCTAATAAGAATGAATAGTCGCGAACATTATTGTTTTAATATTATAATTATTGGTTTAAAAACCGTTTAACGTGAAGCTAGACCCAAAATAAATACAACTTCCATTTCAAAAAAAAAAATAAAAAAAAAATTGTCAAATTATTAGCAAAAAAATTAAAACACTGAAACACCTAATGAATTCCTAGTTCATCTGCCACAATTTTTTACAGAATCTATTTCTCAGAGATAACTTGAATATTTTTGGTTATCATCAGAAAAGTGGTGACGTTAACCTAATTAACACTCAAATTAAAATTTTGATTTTTTTTGGGTTCAAAACATTTTTTTGTTTTTATAAATAGCCAACCACTGTAACAAATTTCAAATTGATTAATAACTCATTTCTAAACATTTTGCACAATAAATCCAAAAAATATCGACTACAAAGGCTTCCTTTTCGTAAAATTTTCAATAATTTTGTTCGGTGGCTTCAATGTGATCAGTTGCCGCATTAGACATAATTATTATTTCTTTAGTTAAAAAAAATGGCATTGCTCCTGAAGTACGGTCCCATAGCTTCCTCGAAAAATTACAAATTTGATCATGTGAATTTGATTTTTTTATTATAACCCCTATAAGTTAAAAAAATAGAGGCGGATTCATAAACCGCAAGTTTATAACTTTTATCAAATTTTGACATTTGAAATTTTAATTACTGATTGAAGGAATTTTTTCCCTTACCTTTTGAAGTAAAAATAAATCGGAATTTTTAGTAAATGTAAGGCTATTCCTTTTTATCTTTTAATTTAAAATTATATCCAAGTGTTCCAAAAATGATGCACAAGGTCGATGTTACGTTGTTAAGAACTCTCTAAAGAACTAAAAAAAAATGGTTAAAACATTCCCTGAACCATATTTAAAAACAAAAAAATAAACTTCAAAACTGAAGAATTAAATTCGTAATTCTGATTTGTTTAAATGATCTGCAGATTTAATAAACAGTTAAATAATTGATTATTAAGAATTTAATAGTAATTTTCCAAAAAACATCCACAACACTATTTTTCACTGTCGAAAGATGTCATTTTTGACAATTTTGATTTGAATTTTAGACTGTCAATTAAATTCACATTAAAACATACCAGAATTACGAATTAATTTTTCAATTTTAAAGTTCTAGATGTTCAAAAATTTGGTTTAGGGATTTTTTAACCATTTTTTTCTATTTCTTCAGAGTACCATCGAGTTTATGCGAAATTTTTGGGGTTTAAAACATTTTTTTTTTTATAAATAACCACTGCAAAAATTTCAAATTGATAAATAAGTAATTTCTAAACATTTTGCACAACATATCTAAAAAATATCGACTAGAAAGTCTTCCCTTTCATTAAACTTTCAGCAGTTTTGTTCGGTGGCTTCAATGTGATCAGTTGTCCCATTAGACATAATTATTATTTCTTTAGTTTAAAAAAAAGCAAGTTAATTAAAAAAAACAATTGAAATTTAAATAGTACTGGATTTTTAAAATAATAGGTTTCATACTAGACCCTTCGAAAAAAATACAGATCTAAGTACTAAGTGTAATATCACGGTGGCAGAATTGTTGTAATTCATTTAATAAATATGTTAATTATCAGACGCCACAACGTCCTAGTATTAGTTCCCTGTACCCAACAAACTCTGAAAAAAATAATTGAAATGAAATATGTATCTATTGTATGACTGTGTATAGGAAAATAATAAGTAGGTAATAAAATTATTATTAACTTGTTGATATTACTTCATCTAGTCAAAGAGGTTGACAAAAGCCGTCAGAAATAATAACCTGCTGCCGTTTACCGGTTATTAGATTATACCATATTTGTGGATCAACTACTCGTAAATTTGTCGGCCGTTTTCCATGACACATTGATTCAATTTCAACAGATTGTGATCGTGTAATGATAACACTTAAAATGTTATTACATGAACAAAAAATCAAAAACAAGCTACCTGTCAGATTTTTTTTAATCCACAAAGAGAAACTCAAAATACACACCCAGATCATAATAAAATACACAAAGATTAACCAAACAACGGATTTAGATTATTCTTTGTGATAACATTTCACAAGAACAACAAAATGTGGTCCTGCTTAGTTTGTTTACACTTATTAAATATTTTTTGAGAATTAAAAATATAAAAAACTGCAATGTAAACTTTGACCAGTGTTGTACACACACTTATCATGCTAATGTAAAGTGTACAGCAATTAAATCAGTGTGTATATAAAGAGTACATAATAATATTTTCTTAAACAGTGTGTGCAAATAATTTGCTGTTTCTATAATTAGTAAAAAAAGAAACACAAAACCGGTATATTTAATTTTATCTCTTTCGTAAGAATATTCAAACAAGTTGTTAGAAAAAACTCAAAAAAATAATCTACATTGTCAAACAAACCGTCAAACCGGTCCCCCCCACAAACATTTACTATTATTCAGAATAATTACTCCCACAACAACGATTCCATTAATAAAACTCTTATTAATCCAACCGACCACAAACATCTATCAATTACAACGATAACAAAAAGAAAGCTTTGTTCACTATTTCAAAACCGACATTCCGATAAAACTCTTCCTCTAATAAAACCCTAAATAAAAAAAATCTAGATGGCGCTCTCCTGAAAAGAGACGGCGCGCTTTCGCGACTCTCTCAGTCACCTGCGAAAGCTCGGTTTTCAGGCGAGCTTTCACCGTTTCAGCGGCCCGAGAAACCGTTAATCCCGATAAATTCCTGCATGTATTTACGGCTAGGAATCTGACAATGAGACCAGAAAACTAACCACTTATTAGTCGTTAACTAAATGGCTAAGTGACACGTGTTGACACAACAATTAAGCGAGGGACAAGTCACTAGCGGCAGACACGTGCTGGATTTATCGGGGAAGAAGTCCACGGACGGTGGGAAAAAAATGCAAAAATTTTGGACTTACCGAAGACTGGACGCTTTGCACTACGAAGCAGATGACGAGAAACCGGAGGGCTAACGCCCGGCAACAGCCCGAGCGCAGCGTCATCGTCTACTGCTCCATGTTCTGTACCATCTGAAGCTGCCTGACTTACCCCCACCAAAGCGACTTAAGCCACTTGTGCGGCGGCGGCGGAGCAACCACTGTTTGGTCGATTTGGCACCCTCCTGGTGAAGCTAGAGGGTTGAAAGTTGGACCACGGGTACCCCAGAGGGTGGTTTACAACTGTGCCAAAAATCAACCCATTTGGGGTACCAGGAGGGTAGTTAGAGGGCGCGAAAGCGGCGCTAGTTTACATCGCGCAGGAAGTTGGAGTCGAGATGGTGGACCCATTCTGGCTCGCTGAAGCAAGTTCTTGTAGGGGTTTTCAGTGACGCGCGGACACGCGTGTGTGCATCACATCTAGAGTGCTAGTGAACTTCCCCGAGTGGGGAAGAGGTCGCGATGACCGACCGCGCTTTTGGGTAAGTACCCCGACTTTGCCTCAAACTTTCGCCCTTTTTCCGCCAAAATTAAGTGCGAAAGCGCCACTTCCAGCAACTTTCGCACGGTACCACTTGGACTTTGCCCTCACTGGCACTGAAAAAAAATTCGTGCCAAAATTTCGCCAGAAAGCTCGTTTGGTACCACTTCGCTCGAGCGGAACCCGCTATCGCGGAGGAAGTGGTGCTTTTTGCACTCCATCGATAACAAAGTTCAAGAATCTGGGATAGTTTTTCATGGTGTCAGCTGAACGTGGGCTTTTTGCAGGTTCGCCGTCGCGCTGCTGGGTCTGTGGACGCTGGTCGAAGGGGTGAGTACCTGTTGATGCGCGAGCCGCGGTCGAGCTGTCAAATTCGGTGCAATTAAATCGACTGGGTTATTTTGGCCGGTTATGCAAGCGTGAATCATGCGAGCTTTGCAGCTTTGGGTTAATTGGGACGGGTTCGATGAATGGGAAATCGTCTAACATCTGGCGAGATGTCCGCTTATTTGGGTTTTCGTCGGATGGGTCAGAGCTGCTGGTTTATGTCGAGTAAAGCAGATAATGAATGATAAAAATATTTATGGATAGTTCGGTGTCTATGGTACTAACCGACTGTGTTTATTTTGTGAATCTGGAACATAAACACCGACCCACGGACCGACAATGCTGGCTTTAACTGTTATTGGTTATTAATTGAAAAATGTCCATTCGGGTTTTATTGACCGTAAAATCGAACTTGACCTATTCGGCGGGGTGGACGTCTGGGAGCAGTGGCGTAGGTAGCGACGGGATTTAATTACTTCCTAATAAAAAAAATCGGTCGTAATTCTGGTGCCCGTTAGAAAATTACGAGCTTTGCAGGAAAGACATCCAAAATAACTCGGAAAGGAAATGGAGAATTTATTTTTTAACTTTTGATCAATTTTTTTGGAAAAATTCTTCAAAAATTTAGAAAACAATAAAATTAATCTCGGTAACATATTTTGAGGTTAAGACCCAGGGGCGCTTGCATTCACATTTCTGTCAAAAATGTTTTAGAATATTTAAAGTTTTGATAAATAATACCCAAATTTAGAGAAAATTTAAAATTACCCAAAGAGGATAAGCTCAAAACTAAATAATTTATAAGTTTTATCACTATTTTTTTTAAATAATCTAGGAATATTTTAGAACTTTTATTAGTCTTTAAGATATTATTTAAAATTACATTTTAGGTATTTGTGTGTAAATTCATTGAAGTGAAGAACCTGTTTTATTTTAGGGCCTCTATATGACCTTATAACATTTACTTTCTCAATTCTTAAATATGAAATCAAGAAAATTGAGAACTTGTTTTTTTTTTAATTTCGCTACTTTCATAAATTACAGAAGCTGCAATTATTGGTATCTATTTCGGAGAAAATATCAATTCAAACAGAAACGCATAGAGATCCTTTTGAGGAATTTCGAAAATAAAAAAATATATCATTTTGAAAATTTTCTGATTTTGGAACTTTTGATTTTGGTACTAATAAAAAATATGAATAAAATTTCAATGAGAAACTATTCGAAAAAATGTGTAGACTTTTTGTAAATTTCCTTGTTTCTGCAGTACAACCAATTCTACATTTGTAAATATAGATTCATTTAGAATTTTTGATATGGAAATAAATTTGAAAATTTTATCAACACTGTCCAAGTTGTGACTTATTGACGTTTTTAAGTGGCAAAGCATTTATTTTAAAACACAAATATAAACCTAAACATAGTCACAAAACGTAATTAAAAATATTTTCTTCTAAAAATATTTAGATTTTCTCCTTAAACCGTCGTTTTTTAAGAATATTTTAATATATTTTTGGAAGCTTTAAGTTTTTCAAACAGTTTTTTATTAAAACCTTCTTTAAACTTATAAATTTTGTTTGTTTAATGAAATTGCGCAAGTAAGAAATAAAAAACAAAATTTATCGAAAGTTTGAACCCACATCAGAAAATAATATACAGGGTGAATCACTAAGCGCACGGCCCTCTATATCTTTATAATTATAAACGATAAAAGAATGCTAAAGATTAAGATTATATAGTTTTTTGAGTAGCATACATAAACAGATAGTGTTTTGTTTTAAAGGCGTAACACAAAACTTATTTTTTTAATGAAACACCCTGTATATATTTACATATTTCGATTAATTGCTTCTTAGGTTTTAAAACTACGGTTTATTTTTTAAATTACGATGCGACGTTGCCACGTTATTCAAATTTTCTTGAAATTCTAGAAAAAAATTACAGTATGATTATTTTTAAAGTGTGTCGTACAATATTTCGTGGAAAGATAAAGAAAGGTACGCGATTTGTTGTGGTATAACTGAAAAAAAAACATCTACAGAGTGTTTATAAAAAAAAAAATGTCTTAATTATTACAATTTTCAGAAATGAAATTTCAGTGTCAACACTCTGTAAATTAAAATTTGATTTGGTTGATAGCACAACAAAGTGCTTACGTTTACTTATTATTCCAAAAAATATTGTAAAACAGACTTTAAAGTCTGCGATTTTTTGTGAACCGTTTCATTGACAAAAAATTTCAAGAAAATTGGAGTAATGTGGCAACGTCGCATCGCAATTTCCAAAGTAAACTGTGGTTGTAAAGCCTAAGAAAAGGTCAATCAAAATATGTAAACATATATAGGGTGTTTTCTTTAGAAAGTTGTTTGAACAGAATGCTCTAAATGTATAACTAAAAATAATTTCAGAGTAGAGTTCTCAAAGGAAGATCGCGCACTTAGTAACTCACCCTGTATATATTTTTTTAACTTTTACATATTCTGATCGGCTTCATTGTAGGCTTTACAACCGTAGTTTATTTTTGAAATTCTAGTTTTTTTGATTTTTTTTTTCAATACAAGAGTTCACAAAATAAATTACAATAAGGCTATTCTTACAATTTGTGTTACAATGAAAATTTCAAATATCGATGTTTCAATTTTTTCAAAAGGAACACCTGTATTTTATTACTACATGCTACTATTTTTTGGTCCTCTGTCGCATCTCTTAAAATATGAATTTTTAGATATAGAAAGTACTTTTTTTGAAACATTTTAAGAAGACAAAAAAATGTAAAAATCTTGAGAGAAGCCGTAAGTCCAAATATAATTGTTTAAGTCCAAGTAAGTCCTAAAATTCTGATGGTTTCAGACGAGAAAAGTAATTTTGAATTTGTTTTGAAATATTCACGAAAATTGCGACACTTGAACTCCAAAAATTGAATAAAATTTGCAAATTTTCCTAAAACACTCAAAAAGTTTCAAAATGTTAGGAGTGATTAAAAAACTGTCAATTATCAATTTTGTAATCTTTGAAGTTCTAGAAAATTTCAAAGATTGTAAACATTCGAAAAATTTTAGTCTTGAAACATTTAGGAAAATTGTGATTTTTTTATTTTTGGAAACTTGTAAGACCAAAAATTGTAAAAATTTGAAAGCTTGTCATTCCTAAAACACCGAAGAAGTTTTAAAATTTTGGGAATAATTGTAAACTTTTAAGTATGTTAATTTTTGAAGTTCTAAAAAATTGGAGAAACCGTAAGTCCAAATATATTTGTTTAAGTCTCAAAATTCTGACGGTTTCAGACGAGAAGAGTTATTTTTTAATTTGTTTTGAAATATTTCCGAAAATTTCGAAACTTGAATCCCAAAAATTGTAAAAAAAATTGCAAATTTTGTCATTCGTAAATCACTTACAAAGTTTCAAAATTTTAGGAATGATGGAAAAACTGTCAACTTTCAATTTTGTAATGTTTGAAGTTCTAAAAAATTCCAAAGTTTGAAAAAAAAGTAAGCCCAAAAATAAAATATTAAATACACTTGATAGTACTAAAAATAAGGGAAAATAATATGCGAAAGAAAGTTCCAAAATTGTAATGGTTTTAGACGAAAAAACTAATTTTGGAAAAATTTTAATCTTCAAACATTTACAAAAATTGTGAATTTTTTTAAATTTTGGAAACTTGTAAGTACAAAAATTATAAAAATTTGAAAAGTTGTCATTCCTAAAATACCGAAGAAGTTTTCAATTTTTGACAATGATTGTAAACTTTAAAGTATTTAATTTTTGAAGTTCTAGAAAAATTCGGAATATTGCAAGTTGGACTTCCAAAATGGTCTGAAACATTTTAAGAAGCTAAAAAGTATTCTTAAGAGAAGCCGTAAGTCCAAACACAAAACTTTAAAGTTCAAGGAACTCCCAAAATCCTGATGGTTTTAGACGAAGAGTTGTTTTGAATATGTTTTGATATAAATATTTACGAAAATTGCGGAACTTGAAGTCCAAAAGTTGCAAAATTTTATTAGAAGTAATACAAATAAATATGTTTTAAGATTTTAGGAATGATCGAAAAACTGTCAATTTCAATTTTGTAATCTTTGAAGTTCTAAAAAATTCCGAAGATTGTAGACATTTGAAAAGTTTTAAGAAGTTTGAAAAAACGTTATAATTTTCGGGAGAGAAGCCGTAAGTCCAAATAGAAAATACTACTAAAAATAAGGTAAAAATAATATGCTAAAAAAAAAATCCAAAAATTGTGATGGTTTTAGACGAAAAGACTTATTTTGTGAAAATTTTTGTCTAGACACATTTACGAAAATTGCGAATTTTTTTTTAATTTTGGAAACTTCGAAGCCCAAAAATTGTAAAAATTTGCAAATCACTCGTTCCTAAACACCGAACATGTTATAAAATTTTAAGAATGATTGTAAACTTCATCATTTTTGAAGTTCTATAAAAGTTCGAAATAGTGCAAGTTGGACGTCCAAAATTGTAAACATTTGAAACATTTTAAGGAGCTAAAAATATTCTTAAGAGAAGCCGTAAGTCGAAATATAAAACTTTAAAGTTCAAGGAACTCTCAAAAATTTGATGGTTTTAGACGAAGAGTTGTTTTGAATTTGTTTTGATATAAACATTTATGAAAATTGCGAAACTTGAAGTCCAAAAATTGCAAAAATTTTAATATAAGTAATACAGATAAATATGTTTCAAGATTTTAAGAATGATGGAAAAACTGTCAATTTCAATTTTGTAATCTTTGAAGTTCTAAAAAATTCCGAAGATTGTAAACATTTGAAAAGTTTTAAGAAGTTTGAAAAAACGTTACAATTTTCGGGAGAGAAGTCGTAAGTCCAAATATAAAATATCACTAAAAATAAGGCAAAAATAATATGCTAAAGAAAATCCCAAAATTGTGATGGTTTTAGACGAAAACACTATTTTTGGAAAAATTTTAGTCTTGAAACATTTACGAAAATTGCGCTTTTTTTAATTATGGAAACGTCGAAGCCCAAAAATTGTAA